CTTGAATTAATTTTGATATTTTTAAAGCAAGAATTTGTTTAAATGCGTTCACCATTTTCAGGAATTAAAATAACAACACGTATACCTTTGATAATAGATATTATATAGATTTTGAATATGAATATAATAAATTAATATTGTTCATGATATTAAACTCATTAATTAAATGTCTCGCAAAATTGTGAAGTTAATAGATTCAAATTTCATTAAACGTAACATTAACGCGCGGCATGTGCGGGAGCGGAATGACAGGGTGACGGGCCAACTGTTACAAACGTGCTACTTACAAAAACCACCTGCTGTAACGTGTTATGTTTAATCGGAGATGCGAATGCTGTGTACGCTAACATTGTGCAAGCGATGAGGGTTCCGAGTATAACCACGCTCACGCAAACGCCGAGCTTTCTGGAACGGCAATTACCCATCGAGATTCGTCCTCTCGCTCGATCCATTTGGCCCAATTACACGTTTTCCGTGTGACGATCCCGTAACTTCTTCGATTGGAGACTAGAGTCGTAAACGAGAACTCGTTAGCGACTGGCGTAATGAGTCGAACACAAGCCGATAGTCATCAGGAACTGTCCCCTGTGCGAAATACAGTGTTTCCATCAGAGTGATTTGATATTGTCCTTTACCTCCTCCAAAATTTCAGTTTCTCCCATACGTTCTACTTTGAATTTTCCCTTTCATAAAAATTTATTTCAGATTTTATTGTTTCAAAAGTAACTTACGTCCACAGTGTGTGTAAATCAAGTATGTAAACCAAGTCTTCTTCTTGGCTATACGCTAAAATTTAAATAAATATTATTATATATTAAGTAGCTTATGTAGCAAATTTTTTATTTTCATAAAGAATTATGAAAATTTTATATTCAAATTATTTATTTTATATATTTTATATATATATATATACTTTTTTATAATTAATTCTTTTATTTCTTTTTTCTTTCATTTGTAGTATGACACATTTTTTAAGTGTGTTAATTAGTTACAGAATAGAGAAATTTTTGAATTTCCAAAAATTCTCTATCTTAGCCAATTAATACACTTGAAAAATTTATTATTTTGTAAAATTGGTATATAAAATTTGTTTGACAAATGAAATATTAATCTAAGACGTCTTTATTCTTCTTACGTATTATATTTATTTTTTATATAAAAATGAAAATGTCTTAGACAAAATTATTATTATATAGATGTTATTATGTAGATTCTATATTATTATTTCTATATTGATTGCTGCCAATATTAATAGCACAAGATTAAATTAATTGATTAAAAAATTTACGTTTTTCATTAAAAAGAAAACAGTTTTTATTATCTTTCCAATTTTTAGGAATTTTCTGTTTTTTCTCTTTCTTTTTGTTTTATTCCCTCAAAGGTTCAAATAAATAGAAAATTTCCCTCAAAGTGTAAAATAAGTTCAGTACATGTAAAATTATTTTGCGCAATTAAGAATCGGTTAACTTTGTTTATTTCAACGTCAGCGTTATTCCTTCATTTTATGAATTATTACTTTAACAAAAGAATTTAAATATCTAGCCACAACAATAACGAAATAATAAATTAAGATAGAATAACGATAGAATAAATTAAGTCCACTAGGGAGAAATAAAAATAATCTTTGACACTCATTTAAATTTAAGAAAAATCTATACTTAAATATATCACATTATCTAAATTAATCTCTTTAGAAGCTTTATTCTTTTCCAATAATTAATCTCATATTTAAAAAGAAATATGAGATTCTCACTTAAATCAAACAAGTGCTCAACTAAAAATAACTTTCCTTATTTTCGTAAAAAGGTCATAGTGGTTGGCTTCTCCGGCTACGCAAACAAATGATTCACCGAGTTCTCAATTAACGTCCGCTTGTCTCTAATACTATGTATTTCTACGAAAAGTACTCTTTATATCAGTCAGATAAGAGAAACGCGTGTATGTTGCGCCTGTTAAAGACTTCTCAATTATCCGCTACGCCTCGGCGAAGTTTACCTCTGTTTACGCACGATGCGGAATGCCGCTCGGTATGAATCCGTGCTCGCCAAGATTCTCCAAGGTCCACGAGACGCGATACGGCACTGCCTGTACGACTGCTGGAGCACGTCGTACGGTATCCTCGTCGCGTACTTTCCGAAGTGCGCGGAGCAGAGGGGAGAGACGCGAGATGCGTGACGTGCGTGCGAGGCGAGATCGCGGATGCGACCGCTTCGGCGCGCGACTCGCAATCTCGGCAACGCGCGCCGGTGTCGATCGGACTCGCGGTCACGAATCTGATAATAACGTGTTATCACACGTGATTTTGCCGTGAGACGAAAATCGCGATCGCGACGCGCGTTCACGTTTCTCTCCTTCGGAGCACGTTTTGCGCGTTGTGCACGACAGCGCGACTCGACAGGCGCGATGGATGGCTGTGCATACGTGCGCGTGTCGCGCATTCTCCTGTGTCATACTTACGTAAATCCAGCTGAATGAAACGCGCATCTGGCATTCCACTTGGCATTGCACTCGGTGGTCTAAGGTCGATTGCACGCGTCGCAGTTCTTTTTTCGCGTTCCGTAAAACGCGATCTCGTTCGATAGCTGTGCAACATCTTTGCTCCCAGTTTGATCAAGTGATATCGTTAATGGCTTTAATGGCCTCTCGACGACCTTTATCTCTCAGTTACAGCGCTGATAAAAACTTGATACCGCTAATAGCTTCACGACAGAATACAGATGATGTTAAATAACTCTTGGGATATCCTACACTGAGAGAGAATAAAGCAATTCTGGCAGTTATAATGTATGAAATTTAAATGATTGCAACTAATTTTTCAAAATAATAAATAGCATTGAATATAATAAAAATATAGTCACGCTAACGATATGTGTGAGTTATTAATTGACAGTTAAATAGCGACTCAATTATAATTACACAGTTATATATAGACTTCGTACAAATAGAATATGACATTACATTTTTTTCAGTTAGAAATATTAATATTAATAATTTATTTTAAAACCTTTAACCAATTTTGTCAAAGAAATTTATTCAAACAATGAATTTAAATGAGTTCTCAGAGAATGTAATAATTTATTGTAAAAAATGTGATATGTTTGTTCATGTCGTAGTCTATTCTAAAATAATATATAAATGAAATATACAACGGTAAGTTGTATCTCATATTGGATATGCAAAGAGACGTGTCGTCAGAATAAATATGCGCGCATGGCTGGGTTAAAGTAACTTTTATTTACGATCAGTTTTTACTAGAGGCGCAATAAATCTCTTTATAATACACAGAAATAACGCAGGTCGACTTCACGCGCTTCGCTCTGGGTATCGGTGATAACCAAACGGGATTTTGCGATTAAGGGAACAAATCGCTTCGTCCGGGGGACACATATTTATTTCCTGAAATGCTAGGTAATTTATTCGCGAAATGTCGATCGAACGCACGATTGTTACGTTACGTTAGATATTGGAGCAACAGGAATTAAGTTACATAATAGTAATAGAAATATACGATAAGCATTATGATCCACTTTTGCAGCTGGTAATTAATATTTAATTAGCGTTATTTTATAGATTATTAAGAACATTAATGTAAAGTTACATATTAATATACTTTTTGACTCGACAGATGACTGAGATAAATATTAGAATGATTATAGTCTACATTGAATATTGCTGTATTTTTAGGACAATATAGCTCTGTATCGTTGATCTTCGCAAGGAAATATAATATCAGATTTTCGAGCGGTTTATATCTGGCTTATCGAATAGTTGCTCCAAACTTTCCAAATTATATCGCGTTATTATCATCGAGTGCGATTAATGGAATCATTATCGACACTTGCTGTGCGCTTTGGTTACCACCTGTTGACAGGAGTGCACAAGCCAAATGTCAAAATAGATCGCATTTTCGGCTCTAAAATAAAGATACAAATTCTATTATACACGTTCGCAGCATTCGGGATCATAGAAATCTATTAGCGTATTTACTACACGCATGCTCGCTCCGCACAGAAACAAACGCTCTCGATATCTCGATTAATTCACCGGAAACTTAATTGAAACTTAATTGAAACGGTCGAATCAATTGAATTTGAAAATTCACATTTGATATTCATTTGTTTTGATATTCATTCACATGTTGATATTCATTTGTTTTCTCGCCGTATAACGTGTCGAAATGTCGCAGGCAAGCAATGTCGAGCTCTTTTTCTCCCGTATTCTTCGTATTCTGAAAAGTAAGTCGGACATTTCCTTTTGCGCACTCCTGACCTACGGACTAAATCTAAGATAGTCTATAACACGGAAAAAGGACGAAGTTTTACTACCTCTACGTTCTCACATGATTTTGTTTTATGCAAGCGCACGGCGTATGCATCCAGTACACGTGCCGCGTGTTCGTGCTGCGTAGTCGTAGATAGACGTTGGAGGCTAGTAAAACAAAGTGACCTAAGTAACAGGGTCCTCAAATCGTTTCGCGCGACATTACCGAAATGTTGGTGAAAACGCTCACTCGATGCGCATAAAATGATAAGAAAGAAAGAAACGCCACGATTGTCCGAAGCTGCTACGATGTAAAGTAGTTCTTACGTAACTCGAGCCGATCGATTCGAATCGGGTTTGCCGACGAGAAATTTGCATACAACGCGTACTTGTGTTACCGTCAACGCGAACGAAGTTTGAGAACACCTGACCTAACGAACGCAACACCGATTATGATTATCATAGTAAGTACAACGAGTCTTCTTCTTCTTCTTCTTTTTTTTTTACAAGAGTTACTAGAATATCGAAGAAGGGGGGAGCAGAGCGAGAGACGAAGGGATGCGAGCCATCACACAATACGTCGTTCGGTATGAAAAGTTTAACGAAGCGGGGCGTTCGAGAAAGCATGGGAGAAAAATTATTCCGCGCGCATAAAGGATTAAGGGAAATTTCTTTCTCTCTCTCTCTC